AAGATGGGTGGACTTCAACTCCCAGAATTCCCCAGCCAGCATGGGTTTGGGTTAGGGTTAGGCTGGCTGGGGGGTTTTGGGAGTTGAAGTCCACCCATCTTAAAGTTGCTGAGGTTGAGGAACCCTGTTCTAAGCAACACATTCACAAACAAAAGGATATGAGAAGCTCCACGAACAAGATGCAGAATCAACGGGATGGAGAAGGCATGAGAGAGACACTTCATCGGGGCTGCAGGATTGGTTGGCAGAGACAGAGGCAGGTTGAGGCAAGAATTTGCTCCAGTGGAAAAATAAATCACACCGTGGCTGCCAAACCACAGCAAGAACTTTCTGAGAAAAGCAGGAACATCCTAATTTAAGGGAAAGAAGTAAAAATTTCTCCTTTTGCAGAAATAAAAGGAAGGGAAGAAATAAAAATTGTATCTGAGTTGGGACTCTTGACATTATGAAACTCCAGTCTCCCTTGCAGGCTAGTATAGGTCTGTGGAAATCCCCTCTATTTTCAGCTGAATTATTTTTCTTTTTTTTAAAAAAATTGCCCAATTATTGCATGTCTCAGCAAGGCTTCTATAGTCATATTCATTAATTAGTTTGGCTTTTTTCCCCTCACCTCCAAGTTCTACATAGTTCTAAGCTCTACAGATTCTTCAAGTACATTGAGAATCGGGATGTTGCAAAAACAGTTTTGAAAGAACGTGGCCTCAAAAATATAAGAATTGGCATTGAAGGTATGTACAGTGTTTCCTAAGTAATACAAGCTTTTAAAAAGGAAAGTAGCTGCAATTTCCTTTTTGAAATATCCAGTTACTGATTTTATTAGTCAACCTTATGTAGTTTTCCTGATTCCTTAAATTATAAATTTTGTCCAGGTCCTTGGAATGACCCACCCGGTGATTTCCTGAGAACCCCTTATGATTAACTTTCCTGAGCTTTGCCTATTTCTGATGTTCTCCTTAGGTGTGGGGTGGGTGGGTGTTATTTAAAGTCTGCTCCTCCCTTCTGAAATTAGCAGCAGCAACCAGACTCAGGGCCAAGCTAGACATAACAGTTCACCTTTGTGTACTGAACACATGAGTCAGTTCCATTTATATTTGCAGTGCAGCGGAAGCCTCTTCTTTGTATCCGACTTTTTCAGTCTAGCCTCTGCCTCAAGATGTGTTGGGATCAGATCTCCCAGGCCAAATGATCTCCTTTTAGGAAGGTGTTATCTTTTTAGAAATATTTATTACTTGAACAAGTAATGAGGCTACTCATAGGGACTGGAGTTGGTTTGGGAGGATAATTACACCAGAATAACTGTGTTTCAGGTTATCCCACTTGTAAAGAAAAAGTGAAAAAGAGGCCTGGAGGACGCTCTGAAGTTATCTATAACTATGTTCAACGCCCATTCATCCAGATGTCTTGGGAAAAGGAAGAAGGGAAAAGTCGGCATGTTGATTTCCAGTGTGTCAGAAGCAAATCTCTAACGAACCTTGTGATGGTGGGTGAAGACATAGCAGAAGATCAAGAGATTATGCTGCATCACCCTCCTCAGGTAGATGAGCTTGATCGATTAAATGCACCATACTCTCAGATGGATGCTAATGATCTGCCAGATTAATTAAGCAGCACAAATGGCTCTCAAATGGACTTGGTTGAGCTTTTGGGTGGGGACTAAATGCCCAGCTCACAACAGGATTTTCTTGTCATAGTTGCTATATTCTCTAAATATAGCCTCTTCAAGCCCAGAGGACTAATTTTATCAAATTTGCTTCTGAGGGCTCCCAAGCATTCTCTTAGGAAACCGGGAACCTGAGAATTGAGTTAACATTTATTCCTCTGGCCAGATAATTGAATTGGAAGTAAAACAATGGAAAAATATTTTCAACTGACTTGAATTGAAAGGATTGATTGAGTGATTATGTGCTATTGTGTCATTTTCGACTCCCAACAACCACATAGATAGATTTTCTCCATGACAATCTATCCGTAACTTGTTCTTTTAAGTCTCCCAACTGTGCACTTATTGCCACTGTAACTGAGTCCTTGCTGCTGGTCGTCCTCTTCTTCTCTTTCCTTCCACCTTTCCCGGCATTGGAGTCTTTTCCAGAGAGCTAGGTCTTCGCATAATGTGTCTGAAGTAGGATAATTTGAGCCTGGTCATTTGTGCCTCGAGTGAGAACTATGCATTGATTTGTTTGAGGATCCATTGAATTGGAAGGAATACTACACCAAAATTTGTTGAAGATTTTGTTAACACTGTCTACAGTGACTCACTTATAAAAAGTACCACTTCATGAAGGATTCCATTGTGGTATTACAACCATTATCATCATCCCCCGTGACCTGGCTGAAGTAGATTTTTATACTGGAAATATCACACCTACAGTGCATGTACCTTTTCTCACCTTTCTCTTTGGTTTCCTACCTCAACATTGGCATAGCAGCTCAGAAGAGAAGATCAGAAGCAGCTACCAAGGTAAGCACCTGAAGAGAGAAATTGGGTTCTGTGAATGCCCAGAGGACCACTCAAATTAGTTACAAGTAAAGAACCTGTCCTACTTTACACATATGGCTAAATAGTGTTTACTTACTGGAAGTAAGCTAGTGGAATATAAATGAAAGTACCACTTGGAAAAACAGTGCATCAGCTCGGGCTCAAACATTGAGGCAGTCATACTGGATGAATGAAGATGGCTGAACATCCCCCTCAAAGCAAAGGCTGAAAAGCGGCATCCCTTGAGGGCAAAGAACTTCCTTGTGGAAGAATTCAACAGCATTTTAAAGAAAGCGACTGTCTCTTGTGGAAAATCCTGCATTGTAGCAGCTATCCTATGAGTCTTGAGTATGGAAGGCACTTTGTGGTTGTTCCATATGAGATCTGTCATCTTGGGAAGGCTGAGGAAATTGATCTTTGATAGTAGCAAGAATGTCAAGTTTTGTGCCATCACTTCTCAGTCTTTTGGCGAAGATCATGTGTTTGGTGGGGTAAGTTTCATAGCTGTCTCAGCCACCTTGGGACAATCAGGGTGCCTGAGGATGGCCCTTGAAATCGTCAGTTAGGAAACTTTATAATCAGCAGGATCAGCAGAAAGTCATGTATAGCAGGACTTCTCAAACTTGTACACCACAATCCACAAAAATGCTAAAATGAATTTGTGTGATTCCCCTCCCCCATTAATAAAACTCACTTCATTGGGGTTATGGTTGGGCCATAAATAATATACCAATTACTTCTTAAAATGGAGTTCATGTAACAAATAAAACAATAAGACTTAAAAAGTTTATACTCAAAAACAAAAACAGTAAAATAAAACGCTTCAATTTTTAGTGAGAAGGATGACCTTACTTACTTTTGTATAATTCCTGAAATCTGGGTTTCATTTGAATGACAGCTGCTTTCATCCCACTAAAGTTGGGGGTGGGAGGCAAGGAGAAAAGTTAGCCTAAAGTGCTGCAGATTGCAAAGCACTAGCAGGCTGTAACTTGCTTTTGGCATTGGCATTCTCCCTGTGCTACCCCCTGAGATAATAGTCACAGCCCATATTCTTTCTCTTCCCTCCTCCCTTCCTCTTTGTTGTAACTCTCAGCAGGTGAGATGGTTTGCCTGGAAGCTTTATGTCCTCCAGGCATGATTGCTCCTCCATTGAAAGGGAAATGCAATATGTTAAAACAAAAAGAACACCCATTTGAGGCTCTGCAGGTTTCCGAATACTTTTGTATCAGACTGGTAAGCCTGCTCAGAAAGGAGCACAAGGAAGCATTCCAGACAACCTTCCCTATATTATTTCATGACCCCCTTAGGGATTGTGACTCACACTTTGAGAAATGCTGGCATATAGGAACCTCTCAGATTAGTGAAGGCTATGCCCATTCTGGAACAGAATGTTGGACCATTTGCATTCATAGTAGAAGAGAGCAGGTACTTTCCCTGATACAGTAGCTATTGATGGATAGGGAACAATTGTGAATTCCCCAATCCACTTGGGATGAATCACTGAAAGAGAAAAGAATGGATAGCCACAGTCCAAAATGTTGTGTTCCATCTGCTATTGCAAGGAATGGGTTACTTTTGGAGGTGTGCTCAGTTTTGGAACAGGAAACAGGAACTAGCTTTTATTGCAGGTGAGAAAGTGTTGCAGAGGCTTCTGAATGATACCTTTATTTATTTTATTTCTATAGCCGCCCATCTCAACAAGTGATTCTGGGCCGCGTACAATCATAAAAACATAAAACAATTAAAACAATATAAATAAATATATATGGTTGCTGAGTAAAACTATTGCCATAGATGTTAATATAGCCAAGATATGGGCCCAACAGGGTTGAGGTCATCCTGATCTCTGAAGGGAGAATGTTCCAGAGGGCAGGGGCTACAGCAGAGGAGGCACATCTCCTAATCCCTGCCAGCTGACATTCCTCGGCTGACGGGACTCATAACGTGCCCAACCTGCCAGATGAATTGGACAGGTAGAAACAACTGGGAGAAGATGGTCCCTTAGGTAACTGGTCCCAAGCCATGAAGGGCTTTAAAGGTGACAACCAGCATCTTGAATTGCACCCAGAAGCACATTGGCAGTCAATGCAGCTCATGTAGCAATGGTGTTACATGTGTCAGCTATCAGACACTATTTACTACCTGTGCAGCTGCATTCTGCACCAGTTGAAGCTTCCAAATGTTCTTCAAGGGCAGGCCCACGTACACCATGTTGCAGTAATCCATACGAGAGGTCACGAGGGCATGAGTGACTGTGAGCAAAGCCTCTTGGTCCAGGAACAGGTGCAACTGGTGCACAACCCAAAGGTGTCCAAAGGCCCTCCCAGCCACGGCTGCCACTTACTCTTCTAGCAGGAGCTGTGAGTCCATGAGGATCCCAGATTGCACGCTGGGTCTGTCTGGGTCAGTGCCATCCCATCCAGGACCGTCAGTATCACCAGAAGGCCCAAATACCTAAGCCATTCAGTCTTGCTTAGGTTGAATCAAAGCCCATTGCACTCTATCCAGACCCTTATAGCCTCCAGGCACCGGGACAGGACATCCATGGCCTTTGTCCAAGGCATATGCTGCAGTGAGAGTAGAGCTGGGAGCTACAGAATCCCTGAAAGTACAAAGGAAGGTATCAGTCTCCTGCAAGTGATTATACCAGGGGGCAGCTTATCAAATGAAACTTCCTCACTGCTGAGTTGAAGTTCTACCCATCCATCCTTGAGTCAGTAGAAAACTCTTAGTATGTTCCCTATCCTATCTCTGTTGCCTCTATTTCAAGTCACAGCCAGTCATCTGACTTTACTCCAGGGTGACAAGGCTTAACAGATTGAGACTGCACTTGGGCTGTGTAGGGGAGAAGATGCTACTTTCACACTGATACATCTAAGGATGACTTAGGCCTGACTTGTTCATGGACTGTGGTTGAGATGAAGGTCATACCATGGGACATAGCAGAAAAAAGATGTCATCAGGGCATATTAGCTGTGATTAGATTTAAGTGAAGAAAAGCCAGAAGACCTGGGAACTGAGTAAAAGGCAAGGCAGAGAATGGGAAAATTCCTTAGTATAAATAAAGTCTTTAAGATGAGTGTGAAAGTGAATCAGGTTATCCTCTTTGGCCTATTAATGGCTGAATAGTTTGAGCTGGAGGAAGGAGAGCAGGACTACAACTGGGACTGGGAACAAGGCACAATTTACTTATGGTCCCTGTGGGAGTGAGATGGCAAGGATCCTGAACTGTTCTTCCAGTCCTGAAGTGCAAGCAGTCCAAGTAGATTCTCCTCTCCACCCTAAGAACTGTCCACCTGAGACTTCTGAATTTGTGTCAGTTGCCCAATTGGAGATGATGGGAATGCAGTTGTTATGGCCAAAAGAAAACATTACCCTAGCACCTGATCATTGTGCCCTGAACCACAATTATAAGTGGTGTCTATATGGGGTAGACACTCACACTGAGACTACTAAACCAATAAGTACCAAGCATGTTCAGTGAAGCTGGAGTAGTGGAGTGTTCTCTCTTCTATATAAGTGCAAGAGGACCAATTCCACTGCACCTATCTCATATACTTTAGCGAAGTGGGCAATTCTCAACAAAGTGAATGTTTCCAAGACACATAAGAGAGAATGGCCATTACTTGGTAGCAGCCAAACAGTAGCAGAATGCTTTGCAAGTAGCCACATGCCCCAGGCCAGGTATGGAAAATGTGTTTAAGGCTGCTAGTTCTGGCTTTTTATCTCTTAAAATATTTTCGACAAGCTGAGTGAACTACTCTCAAGAGCCTGTGAACTGAGTGGGATGATTCCTGCCTAAATATCTACCTTGGCTTTAAGTGGTTCCAAAGTGGGTCTCCATATAGATGCCAAACTCTGCCTGATTCACAAACACTGTGTAGAAATACCAGTCCTAATTTGTCTTTTCTGCCAAGTCCAGCAATTAATATGAAATGTTTTATGAAGATGCCTCTCCAAATGCCAGTGTCCGCTCTACCATCATCCGTTTTTTTGTGGTGCTCTAATTTTGATACATAAAATCACATTATTAAAATTGATGTTTAGTGTTGTGAAATTCATTAGGCTGTTTATGACCATTACATCCCTTTTGTTTCCTGATTGTCTTCCTAATTGGAGGCATTGTTTTAACCATTGTTATTTCCATAACAATCACATGGCTTAAGCAACTGCAGCATAAGCTTCCAGTCAGCTGACTTTCCTAGTTAAAAAAAAGTGGCTGTGATATCCAGGTATTTGTATTCACCAATCATTAGAGTTATTATGGTCCTGCAGGAAGATCAGGATGCATCTAAAATTATTCAGGCTTTAGATAGTTCAGCTGTGACCATTAGACTTATATCATTCTGTGAATGGAAAGGTTTCATTTATTAAGATCTAGTGAGGCTCCCTGAAGGAGGAAAGGGATGGAAGAGAGCTTGTAATCCTTGCATTGCCTCTCATACCATACCAACATTTCTATTGTTCAAAAGGCACAGGGAAAATGAGACTTCACTTTCTGACAGTAAACTTGAAAATCAAGAAAGTATCATTTTGGTTCTAACTTTATGGCTATTTTTAGTGAGCTGGTATGCACCTGGGGTAGACCAAAATTGTTTTCCTTCCTTTCAGCACTTCACAAGCCACCTCTTTACATTGCTGTTTCATCTGAGTGAAACACTGGCTCACAGAATTGCGTGCATCTCTGATTTGCATATGAGAAGGTTTGAACTCATGGAGTGGGAACTTCTGTACAAGCTTCCATAAAATTTTCAAAGCTTTATTACAAGCACTTTAATGCAGACTAAGAAATATAGATGTATAGATCAGTTAGAGAAACCTCATAGATCAGTAGAAACAGCAAGGGTACTGCTGCATTCTGTTGGCTTATGAGTAAAAAAAAACAAGCTGTATGTTCTCCAGAAGAGCTGTGCTAGACTTAAATACTGCTAGACTTGGTTAGAATTTTGCTGTTTCCTTAGGAGACTTTGCAGTCCTGTGTTGTTATACAACACGAGCTTACAACAATTGAAATGTTTTTTCTTTTTAAAACAGATGCATCCAGTGCTCACCTAAATAGGGCCCTTGCTCTCTCGCTCTTTTTCTCTCTCTAGAGATCCATCCATCCATCCATCCATCCATCCATCCATCCATCCATCCATCCATCCATCCATCCATCCATCCAATATTTTGGGCAATCAGCGTATGCAATCTCAGAACAACAACTGAGTGGAAAACTCAACCTTCCTTATTCACTAGATATTGACAAATGTTATGATGAGTTCACTGCCAAAATAGATGAACACACTTTGATATTATTGCACCGCAGAATAATTAGGATAAAGCAAATTTAATTCCATTTCTGTACACATTTAGTCAAGAGCCAGTTTGGTGTAGTGGTTAAGGCATCAAGTTAGAAGCTGGGAGACTGTGAATTCTAATCCTGCCTTAGGCATGAAGCCAATTAGGTGACGTTGGGCGAGTCGCTCACTCTCAGCCCTAGGAAGCAGGCAATGGCAAACCACTTTTGAAATCTTGTGAAAACACACACACACACACACACACACACACACACAGGGACTTTCAGAAAAAGACATACGAGTTCTGCATAGGAACTCAACAGCCAACTAGTAAGTTACATTCATATACAGGGGTGTTCTGAAAAACCTCTGCGTATCCTTCTGCAGGGATCCTACCACTTTTCCTGTCAGGGAGGCAAATGATTCTGCAGCTCCTTTAGTCCTTTTTAAGATAATGATCAGCAAATTATCCAGTAGAATGATAATTTGAAAGAAGCAAAAAAGGTATTTAATCTTGGAAGTTGTCATATTCAAAGAAAACATTAAATTAGCTAACACAGCTATCTTCAACTTTGGTAAAATTCAGAATAAAATTGAGAGACTTTATTTTGATATGGATAGTAATTAAATATTGCCAAGATTGAACTGACTTACTAGTTTCTACTTGAATACATCCAGTGAGGAGATCCCCACTTGTATGGATAAATATCAAAGTTCTCTTAATGTTAAGGAAAAAAATCTTGTATGTTCAATTATAATCTGCCTCCCTATAATTTAAAATGATTATAGAGTATCTTGCCCTCTGGAATGATGGGGAACTGTTTTGATCTTTTCCTGTAGGTCAGCCTTTCAGGTACAGTATTTGAAGAATATTGTCAAATCCCCCCACGCCCAGGTTTTCTTTTTGAAAGCTAAGCATTCCTAATTCCTAAATCTTCTTTGTAATAAGACCTAGTTTCTAATCCCCTGATCATCCTCATTTCCCTTTCCCGAATCTGTTTATCTAAATAATTTTTAAACTGTGGCACCTAAAACTGGATGCAATAGTCAATATGGGGTCTGACCTGTGTAAAATAAAAATGGACATGTTGACTCCAGTAATGAATAAACTGTCTTCCTCGTGATGCAGCCATAAATTACAATTAGTTGATGCAAACCACATTGTAAACTGAGTTTGAATAAGCAGTATGATCAGCTTGTTCTCATACAAACAAGTAAAACATTTCCTTGCAGGCCAACCATCAAGGGAAAGCTTTGGGAATTTCTAAATTGGTTGACATTTTTTCCCATTGTTGAAATACATTTTCTGAGAGTAATGTACATTTTGTTAAGATATCTAATGTACTCTCTGGCATTTACATGTTGCTTAACTACAGTGTTTAACAGTCCCAGAAGGCATGGTGATGGTAAAGGGCGCAGGGCACCATAGTTCAGCAACTTCTGGAGACCATAGCTTTCTTGGACCTAAATATATATTTTACAGTGATTGTTTGTCCCAGCTATGCAACTGTTTCCAACAGCAAATATCTGAAATCAGATGCATTGTGGAGTCTCAGACTGGAGTGCTATTACTATGTCCACTATCTATAGAAATGTAACTGCACATAAAATTTGCTGCAGCAGATATAAGCACATGATTGTGATGTTGGAACATCCCAATTATAGGAAAGCCATGAAATATTGATTTCAGTGGGTATACTCCAAATCTGAATCTAACCCACTGGATCGATAAAATAGAAAGTAACTTTTAAATTAGAACAATGACAAATTCAGGTGTATGAACTTCAGGCTTATTGTATCCCAGTGAACTGAACATTACCCATTCCACAAAGGACTCCTTGTAGAATCACTCACACCTGAAGAGTAAGCATTAGAGGCAATACAGTTCAGAAGACAGAGATTTACTGTAAAATATGTATTTCATATCTGATGCAGATTTTTATTTTCCCCTCCCATTGCATTTGGGCAAATGGAAAATTTTGGTTCAGGAGTAATCACAGCCTTATTCTTTTATTATTGTCATTTAATTTATAAGTTGATTCAGAGCTTACCATTTACAAGATCATGCTGTTTCAGTAATTTTTGTAAAAGTTATTTTGTATACTTCTTCATACACTTTATTAAAGTGCTTTTTAATCTATTTTCTTATGACTTTTCTTTTGATGCCTTCTAAGCCATATAACATCTGAGCAGTAGAAAGTGCATATATGTATATCTATACTCACTTCATAGGTCCCACCTTGGTGTACACACGAAAGGAACAAGATACAGTATATATCCACAATTGATGTTACAAGGTCTAAATGCTGCCTGGTCAGTTCTATCACATGTGAATCAGACTTGGTTATAACCAAGGTGGTTTGCATGATGTCGAGCTATGAACTCCCTCACTCTCAATTGTAACAAAAAAGGCTTATATGGACAATTTTAGTCTTCCTATAATCAGCATCTTGATGCCATATATCCCTTTTCTTCCTGCCTCCCTTTCCTAAATTGCTTGATTTTTGTAAGGATATAAATTTAGTAACTGGAATAAAATTGTGTATCAACTGCATTTGAAAAATATGTTTAACAAATATATCTGGTCACATACTGATTGTAAATTTGTAATGAAGCAACCTTTAGTATGTTTTCAAATTCAGAAAACCACAAGAAATAGCAAAACTACATTTATTGAAAATGAATTTTAAACATTTCAGAATGCAAAGATTGTTCCATATAGAATTGGTCTCCAAATAAAACCAACAAATCACATACAAAGTTTACTAAATTGTACACTGCATTTAGGAACAGCCATACACAGATACAAAATAATTGTCATCTACCAAAATAAGGCAGAACCCAGGCACAGTGGTTAGTCAGTACCTAAGTGTAGTATAACCTGTTAGGAATCATACACAACCAGCAGTGTTGCTTATATTTATCTTAGCCAGGGTTTTATTTTCTCCCATACCCCAGCATGCCAAAATTCAAAACTTTTGCAGCTTTGGGGTATGTGGGAGATACATTACTACTACTTAATTATTCAGCGCAGCAAAATACAGCAACTTGCATTTACTACTATGATGTAATTGCTTGGCTAATTAGATCTAAAACTGCTTTCAAACAAGGAAGTGTCATCCTAGAAAAGTGACTTTCAAAAAAATACTATGAGCTTGTGCAAGATGTCAAGAGCCAGCAATATGAAAGTGGCAGCCTATGTGGATTATGTGCTTCTATGCAGCTGAATTATGGTCATGAATTCACAATGACATTGACATTAATGTTAATTAAGGCTTAACAGGGTTCCTATTAAGCTAGATCTTAATATTTTTAAATCTTAGTTAACTGGGATCTTTAGTTCACTTTGAAATCAATACCAACATAACTATGGTTAAGGTGGGAAGGAATAAGGAATCAGGTTCAAGTGGACCACTCTCTTAATTATGGGCAAGGAGGAGCCAACATTATGCATTTAAATACATGATCCGTTTGGTGAGAACCCTTGCTTTAGTGTTCCAAAAAAGTCATTGGAATCCAAATTATAATGCTTCTATGCAAAGGGGAAACAGCATGTGTTTTTTTTTAAAGGAATGAAACAGATTTAATTTTCATAAGCTTGTTGGTACACTATCCTTGTTTGTGTCCTGAATTCAGCCACAGTCATAGTGGCAAACAAGCACACTAGATAATATCTGGATAGTCTACTGAGATCTTGGCCGCTGTCCAGATTGCAGAACTCAAGATTAGACTTTTGCTTATAGCAATATGTTTTATTCAACTTCACTAAAATAAAAAAGCAATCCTTCTGGGTATTTCCTAATTACAAAAGACAATCAGAATGCCTTGTATTGTAATTCAATTTACCCACATACATACGATTCTTGCATTCATAATCTATCATACGATGGCACAAGAACTATGTGCTATACAGTCACAATGCAAAAGAAATACATTACTGTAACGGAGACAGAATGTAACAAAATGTTCCTCCCTTTGAAGAGTTATTCGCTGGTCAACTCTCTAGGCTATCTGGTTACCCTGAGGGTTTTCTACAGCTTTTTTTTTTTTTTTTACTTAAGGCTTATTAAGCACCAGTCATATATGCTACATGTTTTCAATATTTAGCAAGCACCAGAATTTAACTTCAAATCCATCATTATCTAGCAAGTAAGCAAAACCCTAGCCTCACAGGGATGAGACACGTCCAAACACGGTAATTGTAAAACTAGGCACATAGGATATATAAAAGCAGAAGCAGGTCTTACTTCCCTTTTAGCTTCTCTAAGTTAAATGCAAATATTTCATTTGCTTCTTCCTCACTGAAGCTTCTGTGTAGGTTCACATCTAGAAAGCTACTCGGAGTAGCAGGGTTTCTTAGACTCTAGGAGACAGAAAGCAAAACTTGTGGCATTGAAATAAGGACGGAGAAAAGGAGAATATGTCACTGCTTTATCTGGTGGAAAGGCACATGGGACACTCTCAGAGAAGGCGTCTGTCACTATGTCATCTATGTAGGTACACTAAAAAAAAAAAAAGTTAATTTATTTTTTAAAAGTCCAGTGGGTAAGAACTGATGAAACAGAATGAAATAATTTATGGTCAATGAGAAGGTTGAAGCATCACTTACTGTGATATTATTGCACACTGCTTCAGATCATTCCAAAACAACTCCTTTAGAATAACCCTCCTAAACTGGAACTGAACTATCCTTCCCAAATTTGATCTAAGAGCAAAGTACTTTAGGTGCTCTTTGCATATTTATGTGTAAGAAAAGTGCCAGAATATCTTAAAGCAGGGTTCCTCAACCTTGGCAACTAAGACGGGTAGACTTCAACTCCCAGAATTCCCCAGTTTCTGGGAGTTGAAGTCCACTCGTCTTAAAGTTGCCAAGGTTGAGGAACCCTGTCTTAAAGTAAAGCTTCATAGTTTTATTCAATTATCTGATAAAAATGTTAATGTACTTAAAAATGTCCCAGGACATAATTTTCAGGTCCTCTGACTTTCCTTTTTCTGTTTCCAAATGCATTAGTTTCTGTTTCTTTCTGTACAACCACTGTGCCCTGTGATTGAGAATAAATCATCCCGCACACTTAAAAGTTAAATTACAGGCACAGATCAGTAAATGAGAATGATAAATGGTGCATTATGTAGAGAGTAGGGATTCACTTGGATAACCTGAATGTCATTATAATAATGTCAAAGAACCCAGTGTATGGAACTACTACAACCAAATAGAAACTGTGATTAGATAATTCATGTACTTCCCGTTACTACAGAAGCTCTCTACAGGAAATGTCTGAGTGGTACAAAACATTCTTAGGATGAAATTCCAAATTATCCCATGTTGAAATCTTAGAATCATTCTCTTCTTATAACAATTTTTTGGCTTTGATAAGTAAAAGATCTGAAAATATGGAGGGAAGGATGACATTTCGTTTCCTACTTTCTATGAAGTGCTAATATTACTAGTGATCTGCTTTTTACCAAATAGAAAAAATGTTCTTTAAATAGGTTTTACCAGAACCCCCCCCCACTGCTCATAACATTGCTTATAGAATACATAATGTTATACATATCTGAAATTTATTAAAAGGCATAATACTTCCAGATGACTATTTTAGTACCAACAGTAAAGTGCAGCAGGTTTTGAGGCTATTGGATTGAAAATATGCTATCAAAAAAACTTGAATAGCCCTATATTTAAGGCAAAAGAGGTTTTGCCATCCTAAGGGATAAACTACTGAGAATCATCTCTCTCACCATAGTAGTTACTGCTCTGCTTCTTCTGTTATGCCTTAGCCCTTAGAACTGTACTGTATTTTCAGACAGCACTTGTAAGACAGAACACATGTCATATTCATAATTAAAAGCTTGCTCTTTCCTTTGTGTTGATGAAGTAACAGTCTTAAAAAATTTAGCTAAACCCCAAAGAAACTAATAAAATCTGCAAATGCAGGCTGTAAGTGCGATTTGTGGAATTTCCCCATTCCATCTGTTGTAATGTAAACAGAGCATAAGTTGTCATTTTGCACTCTTCAAACATTCACAGCCCTTGGATAAAGGTTTTGAGACAAAAGTAAACCATGTAGCAAAGAGTTGTTATTTTCCTGGTTTCATGTAGGATGGTATTGCCCCTCGAGCAGTCAGGCCTTCAAAACGTTTGTAGGTATAATTGATAAAGACCCAGTCTTTATTCTTGTAGTCTGTTTCTGGATGGTTACCTGTGGTCGCTGATGAAAAACAAAATTCAGAACTAGTATTAAACAATTTAATACAGGACAGGAATTTGTTGAGAATATTATAGAGACACAAGATGGGACAATATTGTCATTTAGTTGGGTGTATATTGTTGGAACTGGAAAACTCTTATAAAGAGCTACCTAAGGATAGATATATCATCAGCATGCCATTAAAGAGGATGACATCAACTCTACTATACAGTGAGGATGCAAATTAGATCAGCTACTAAACTCAGAAAACCAGTTTCTCAAAAAACATTTTCAAGCATTTAATCAAGTATGAAATAAAGGGAATTCTTGATAATGCATTTTGTACCAGAAAATATATTACAAAATAGTCAAGAAGGGAAAAAAATACTTTAAGATCACGAAGATGCCAGCTGCTCTATTCCATTCTCACCCTACAGCCCTGGCCAGTCCTCTTTTAGTTGTGATCTTAAAACTGGATTGTAAACTCCCCTAAACGTTGAGGTTCTTCTTTTTTGAGCTTCCAGTCCTGGAATTCACCTATCCAGGCACTAATAAGGATCATCCCTGCTTAGCTTCTGAGATCAGCCAAGGTCAGCTAAGCATTGCCATCAACTAAGGAAAAATTAACAGCAGGGATATGCAAAACTTACAATTCCAGGGAACACTGGAACATTCTGATTTTCTTCCTGATAATGCCTATCTGGACATTTCACGGCTGGTCTGCTAATTTTCTGGAAATAAATCTTCTGTAATGGGAAATAGTTTATTGTATTCTGGAGCTGGTGTTTTGTCATGGTTCAAAAGAAAAATGGAATGTTCTAGTGTTCCCAGAATCCTCTGTCTCCAGAAGAGAAATGTTTACATATAACTTCTTAGCAGAGTAGTTATGACACCCCCAAAGTAGACAGACTCTCTACCATAGATCCACCCCACTCCCAAGGAAAGGAGCCTAGGGATTGGCAGTGGGTTTTTCTATGAAAAGGCTATTTTTTGAGAGAGTCAGTGAAAGCTAAAGTCCCATTTAAGAATAAAATAAAGACAAAAAGATTAACAATTTACCTGCCGATTTAAGGATATCAGATTCTGGAAATTCATCGAAGTTTGATGTGTCATCAATACTTTTGATTTCTATGGAAATTGCTGCAGGTCTCTCCCTGGGGGGAAAAATCAGTGTTAAATAACTCGACTTGCAAGGAAAGATAATATATTCAACCCCAAATTTACATCATGAGTGCTTTTGAAACTCAATCCTGACTATGCTCATAGTTAATGCAGTCTTTCCCTATTGTGTTATCAATAAAAGCTGAGGAGAAAATACTGTACCTGATATGTTCCCAGTCAACTCCTTCAAAAAAGGGATTTGTTTTAATTTCTTCAACACCTGGGGCACCAATTCGATGTTCCCATTCACAGCAAAACCTGAAGAGAATGTCACCATGGAGAATTCAAAAGTAGGTACATAATGAACTATTGACTAGAAAAGAAAATATCTGCAGTAGAGGAATATGCTAATTCCAAGACAGCACAATTGTTTCTAAGGCAAGCCTTAATAACCTAAAAAAATAGAGAATCAGTGCTGATATAGTACTATCACTATAAACATATTGGAAAAAAGGACAGGGTCTTACAATTCTCCAGGAAGGAGAAAAACTAAAATGGACTGTTTTACTTCCATTTTCCTACAGACAGACAGACCAATTTTATTAAAAGTTTTAAAGAAAACATAAAAACTAACACAAATTAATACAGAATAAAGAGAACAAAGAAAGAGATAGAAAAAAGAAAAGTGCAGAAAGAACAAAAAGAAATAGAAAGAAAAGGGTTCCAATTTCCTTTGCAGCAAATGTAAGCATTACAAAATTATCTCTTACTCTATGATTACTATTTTCTTTCAGATATTTAAGATATAAAAGCCATACTGTTTTTCCCTCAAGCCTTGGATGTCTTATAGAACCTTTCTGTTGGACTTCCAGATACATAACACTTTCAATTTTTAGAAAGTAAAACATACAGGAATATACCCCCTCCTCACTTTCTTCAGTGTGATCGGGGTGCATATTTTCTCACTGTAATATTGGCCATTCAAGAAAACAGGAAACAATTTAAGCCCCCATATTGACCACTGGATGGTGAAGATGGACTCAATAGCAGTTCTATAGTCAGGTATCAAGAACTCTAGTATTCTATTTCCTTAGTAATCAATCACATATTTAAGGGAATCCCACAAGTAGAGACACAAGTGCAATAGCATCCACCCACTCATGCTCTCCTCAGTAACAGTATTCAGAGGCAGACCACCTCCAAAACTGAACGTTATATATAATTGTGATTGTAGTAGCCATGTTAACTATACGTTCCATGAATTTGTCCATTATTCTGTGCATGACTCAGATTCCTGCATCTAAACTACAATCAAATCTATGCACAGTTTGGAACAAATTTAAACGCAAAAGAAAGAAAATGGTCACAGTACAAAGAAAAGGCAAGATACCATTTTAAAGAGCATCAGATTGTAGGCAGCTCTCTTGAATATATTTTCAGTTTATGTGGAATATGGACCAAACCTGCCAAATCTTTTTCTTGTTTGAAGGAAATGGAGAGTGTGTTCTGGATAGGGCCAATGCTCCCCAGCTTCTATGCAAGAGAAAGCAAAGGAAAAGTGCTGGGAAGACCAGATTTTGAGGGGGGCCCACTGAGGGGAGGGAAGGAATGGATGAGGCTGGGAAGATAAGGAGGCAGGTGGACCAAAAGAATACACTGTGCTGGAAGCGAGGTGGAGGACAACATGCACCAACTTTGCTTGATTTGTCCCCCAATCCAGATTTCATTTCTTCTGTAAACTTGAACCAACTCAAAAGTTTTGGATTTCATTTCTGCCAAACCATGGCTTATCCAAACAGTTCAGGAAAACGTCTAGAACATGATGGCTTGTTCCAAGCTCAAAACAAAATTATTTTTCCATTTTGTGCACACTTCTACTTACACTCTTGAATAACAGTGCCCTACTTGGATAGTTTTTAAAACACAATTTTAAATGTTCGGAAAATGACAACCCAAATCACTGCAGACTGAATGTTAAGAAAGTTTGTAAACTGTACAGTGAATACCAAAAATATCAGTTTCATTGTTCTTCAAGACTTCAGTGTTAGCAATTATAGATCTGGGTACCTTAGAATGAGATCTTTGGCTCTCTCAGAGATAGGAACTTCTGGCGGGAATATTAAAGTCTCTTTCCAATTCATTACTTTCTTGTATGTTTCTTGAGGGGTCTCTGAACAGAAAGGAGGGTAACCTGAGAAAAATATTATAAAACTTATGATCAGTGATTAATGAAGCCTATACTGGTTATCAATTCTTATCCCCTTACGTTCCATTTCAAAGTCAAACATTACAACTTTAAATAAAAATCAAGATAATGTTACATCTCAAGCAATATTCTATTTAGAAATCAAGGGACAGATAAAAATCTGTGACCACAATATAGTTCTGATTTGGATCTAATACATTATCCCTTACCAATTAGCATCTCATACATAATGACTCCAAGTGACCACCAGTCACAAAGCTTATTGTACCCTGTCTGCATGAAGACCTCTGGAGCAATATAATCTGGAGTTCCCACGGTGGAGAAAGCCTGAAACAAAACAATATCCGTTCAATGATTTCAGAAATACTCTATCTGTGAACACAGGGCTGGAATAGTCAAAGAAAATTATGCAAGACATGCTGATTTTGTAATAATCTCCCGAAACAATCTTGCAGACAAATTGCGTGTCTCTCTACTTCAAGCTGCAGAAAAAAGCGATACAGATAATCTGGCCATAAAATAATGCTTGACTCTCTAGTTCTGAAAGGCAGTAAATTTTTTGAATTAGCTAGCACTTGCATTTTAATGTATTTGACCACATTAGTCAAGAAAAGCACAAAATAACATGGAAACTTTACAGGATCAATCTCTATTTGTGCTGTGAAATTTGGAGGGGACCCCTAGCTCCATTTTCTCTTATTCTTACAGTGGAACTGAAAATGTTGGGAAACTTACAAGAGGTCTCTGGAATTACTGTTTCAGAGCAAATGAAGTGCTTTTAAAAGCATCATTTTAAAATATCATTGCACAATCAATTCATCATACTCCCAACTTTTTTGATGCAAGAACCAAAGATAGTATAATGCATATATCTTATTGGGTACTATACATTAGTATGGTTTAGTGTTTGAAAAGTGATCTGCAGAAAAAAACATATTATACAACATGACTTGTTTAAAGTAGGAATGCAGATTCAGAATATGCTAGATGTAGAAGTCACTCCTCTGGCATTTAACATGCTTCAGGTACTTTATATAACAAATGAAACTGATGAATTTCTGAAGGCATAAACAACATCAGATAAATGAAAATGTGAAAGACTTGAGAAGCTTATTTCATTATATGTAAATCCTGTTTTCTGAACTTTTAATTACAGAAATAAATTTAAATTATAGTAATACTTCCTAAAGATATCTTATTTGAATTAAGTGAAAAATTGTTGCAGTTACTATGGTTCTTGCAGTCTAATCCTTTATATATCTGTAATGCAAAAGCAAGTCTTCCTAAACTCGATGGGACTTTGTGCTCAGACAAACATTAATAAAATAGCTTATGCAGGCAGAATCAGAAATAGATGTTATTTAACAGAAACTTCAAAAATCTTTTTTCTGTTTCTTTATATTAAAAACAGATTTACACAATGCTTCTAAACTCAGATTTAAAAAAACAACTTTTTTTTAGATTTGCTACAATACTGACAACTAACTAGTGTTTCTATTTTTTTCTCCTTAATTTTCTAAACTGCTAAAATTCCCTTAGGTGCAAACTCTTAGTAAACATACTAAGCTTCTTACTTGCAGTTAGATACCCCAGGATTTCACCATCATTTTATTTACAGCCAAAAGGCCTGAAAATGCTGCAGTGTCCCCTCTCTCTCCAATAATTATTACTTTAAGAATCTATACTTTTATATGTCAATAGCATATGACATATGCAATGAGGTACTACTATCTGTACCAAATTATAGAGTGAATTTCATGTTCCTGAGTGTTTTTTAAGTAGTCAAAATATTTTCTCTCACGCCCAACTCAATCTGGATGAAATTTTCTTGCTAATTCAACACTTAACAAAAATGTTACACTTCTGGCAAGCAGTCCAGGTAGTTTAATTCAGACTGATTTATTTATTAATGCAAATATTATATGATACCGTTTCTATCTGATAAGGCACTCTGGCTAAGAGTTGCAATACCTAGTATCAAGTCTAACGTCAACAAATATGAAGACTGTACAGTCGTTTGGATTCCACCTCCAAAAGCTTTTTCCAAGTGCAGATGAGCACATCCCTGGCATCTGTCTGCAATACCTTAAAGCAGCTGGGTCTTTTTCCAGGATTACATAATCCTGAGAAAAGGTACATTTGCTTTACAGTACTAAAACAGATGATAGTTTCACTTGTGCGTGCTCTGTCACATCTTTCAAAAATCACATCTGAAGCACTGCGCAACCTGAGTATCTGTGACATATGTACAGTATGATTTACCAATGTTGCTGGGCCATGCCTCCTATCAGTATGAGCATTTTCTTATATGAGGATATTAGAATGCAGGCTAATTTACTCCATCTCCCAATACAATGAAGGGATTTGTAGGATCTCATAGACTTGTCACAACAACCACAGCATTGATGTGCATTTGGCCATTATGCCATCCACGCAGGTAAAGGGTTCTCCACACAAGGGAAAAACAGATTGGACGAAAGTCCTTCCTTGCATGGAGCAGCTAAAGATTTTCCCAGACTCCTGAATCCAGGCTACTAAAAGAATTAGCAATGCTTACCACTCATACTCTTCCTATGTATAGGAGATCTGTCTAAGCTGCACTAACAAAACAAGAGAGAAATATTAATGACAGAATCGGCCCCTACCAGGAGATTAGACTGCAGGGTGTCTCCTACACCTATTTTGCTAACCACTCAGCTCCACTCATTTTCACTTCCCTTCTCAACTATTTCCATTTGGTTTAAGAACTAGTATCTGAGTTTGCTTTTCCCCACTCTACTCTTATCTTCTCTTTTTGTTTTGGTGTTGTCTTTGGATCACATACCTATGTGCAGAGATTGTCCTGTTTGTAACTAATCTTACGTGAGCCACTAAAGGAATTTCCTTCTTTCTTGAACAGCAGGGTAAAATTGCTTCCAACAAACCAATATAAGACAAATTCTCCAGACAGCACTACCTACCAATTGCCTCCTGTTTCTTTTCCAAGTTTCTGCTTTTCTTTTGGAGTTCATATTCTGAAAAGCTGAAGATAAATAACAAAAGATAAATAACACTGTTACTTTCCATTTTGAACGGTTTCATTCTACTGATATGCTGAAGAGAAGGAATATTTATAAAATGGTTAATGCCTTTTTACATATTTGCTCTGAATTCTAGTGGCCCACATTTTCTCCCCTCTCCTTCCCCAAAAATGCAATGAACGAGAATAAACTAGTGCAAAAGGAAAGGGGCTGTATTTGTAGTGGTGAGATATGAGTAGCACTAATCAATATATTTCTAAAAATGCTTCTATATATAATCAAATATATATTTAATTTTTCTTCTAACTGTAGACCATACATACTAGATGGCAGCAGTTAGTTAACCTTTAGTTAAAGAGGCATGGACTTGCTTAGTACATGGATGGGAAACCACCAGAAATACCAGGGATGGAGAGCAGACTGGGAAGTAAAACTCATCCTAGAGGAAGGCCATGGCAAACCACTTTCATACGATTGCCAGAAAACAACATGGGAAAATTCATGATGTCATCAGGAGTTGAGCTCAGTTCAAAAACTTTTACTTTTCTCAACAGTTTAATTTAAACATACAGAAAAACAATATTTTTTAGCCAAGGTAACTTATATGAAAGCAGACATAATTCTATAGTACATTTGATCGGTTATATACAGACTCAATTTTAATTGCCAACCAGCAGATTTAAATATATTTATATTTCAGTAAATCAATAGCACCATGTTTCTTTGGGAACAAGAAGCTTGATAAATGACTTCAAATTATTCCAAACTGTTTCATATCTTTTAGGGATGAGCCCAAGGTCTAGTAAGCTCCTTCTAAGGACTTTACAGAGCACAGGTATTTTGAAGCTAGAAACAGCAAGAAGTCAAAACATGTACATAAATTCTGAATAAGTTACCCAGCTTCACAAAAAGGATTATATGAAGGCGCCACCCCACCTGCTGTATTTCTCAATCCCTGCTAAAAGGGCATCTACACGCTGATCTGAAGAGACAATCACAAGACAAAAGCATTTCAATATCTAAGCTGAATGGGGTTGCCCTTGGGTGCAGTGTGTTATGACACAGCTACACATGTTGTATAAAAGGCTATTAAATCATGCTCCCAAGTGCTTATAGTTACTTATCTTCTATACAGATCCCAGTACTATTATGCAGCAGCCAACAATTACCAAAAGCATTTTCTTTCAAATGAGCAGAAACCTTTTTGTTGCAAATGCATTTCCCCTAGTGAGAAAGTCTATGTTTTCAGCTTTTGGAAGAGTATGAAGAGAATCCACACCAGGCAATATATCAAGGCAGACAAGAGTGACAGCATGCCTGTTTGGAAGACCTCTAGAGCTTTATGAAGTAGTGCCCAAGTTTGCCCAAGACAGTTTTGTATGTTATTTATCTTACATAAGCTATTTTTCCGCTGAATAGCAGAGTATAAATACTTAAAATTAAGTAAGTATATGAGAGCCACCCACAAAAGAAATAAACCCCTCTAAACATACACACCACCAGGAAGACTCAGAGTGGATAAAAACAAAAGAATATTTGAAGGCGCTAATTATTCGGGTAATTACAAGTTGTTCAAGTGATATAAAAAGGCTTACTAAAGTCACTAGGAAGATTGTAGCTCAAATTTCTATAGAATTCTGTTCTATGTGCTTTCTTCAATCCTGTGCAAAGACCAAAGTCTGACAGCTTCACGTGGCCCTGAAAGTAAACAACAATGCAAAAATAGGAGAATTAAGTAACAGCACATAATAGTATTCAAACACTAAATGTTTAATCAAATATCGCACTACATTTGATTTTCTTTTTAGATGAACTTTTATTTCGTTTTGAAATAATGTAAAAAAAAAAATTCTCTATACCGCTCTTTGCAAATTAATCATGTAGTCAAATATGCAGACATGCAGAATAAATCAGGGGGATTCTTTAAATAAATTAGGAAAATGAGAGGTGATATAAGAATCCCAGCAGTTCTTAATCAGACCCATACTATCATACAAGGACTCAATCACATCGGTATCTAGCTAACCAGCATCTTGTGTCAGCCAGAGGTAGGCATCCTTATTTTTCCTGTTACAGTGAACAGAAGAATGTACCATGCCAAAGATGGAATACTTAAAAAAAAAAAAAAAAAAAAAGGAAAGCTCCATTAGATGCCTGCTGACTATTGTTCAGGGAGCTTTGCTGAGAAAAACCACATATATTTTCATTTTCAGCAATGCTAGAATGATCAAGTTTGCCGGGCTACAGAACGCCTTTTAACTGGTTCACATCTTGAGCCATTATGACAGAATGCCAGCATGCATGTTACATCTTCTATAAATGTAGATATGTACTTAAGATTTTATGGAAGCATGTTTAAAAATTATTTGAAAAGAACAGTTTGCTTGCAACCGAAATAGAATTCAATTGTTATGAATCCCCTTCTACATATAAAGCCCCTAAGAAGCAGCCCCAAAAGAATATATTCATTCTTTCTTGAAGGCAAGCAAGAAGTACAGCAGAACCTCCCAGAGATAGGATGCTAGCAGAATTACATCTTCCCCTTACTCATATATTGTGCCCGCTGCATTGCCATGACATCAATATTTCTAAGTAGGAGATTCTTAAAAATAAAAATAAGAGCCAAGTCATAGATGCTTAGCAATAGGCTTCCATTTCAAACACCTGAAATGTCAATAATGTTATTCTGGAATGTTAAATAATTAAAAAAATATTAAAGCCATATAACACAGTAAGCTACTATATTTCTACTAAGAAATACTAAAAAGAGCTAGCTAATAAATAGCATTCATACTTTACTGTCCAAGAGAAGATTATCTGGCTTGATATCACGATGAATAAAACCCAGCTGATGAATTGAATCTATAGCTAATACAGTCTCTGCTATGTAAAATTGAGTCTCTTCTTCTGTTAGAGTATCTTTTTTCATTAATAATGTCATCATATCACCTGTATGCACAAAGGAAAGTGAAGGCAAGTTAATTCACCTCTTTTATAATCGTAGTATCAGTACTTCATTTAACTGAGCCTACACTGTAAGAGGTATTCTTTTCAAAATCTTTTTCTCTAGAACTATTTCATCTACTCCTTTTTATTCCCAAATGGGAATAAAGCACCTTCATAGATATAATTTCAAACAGGCAAAAAGCATCTTCACATTCCGAAAAACTGTCATGGATTACTTCAGGATGCTTTAAGCTAATCAATGTTGTTTTAAAGAAAGTTATCAGTAAGGACATACAAAATAGCAACAATAGATAATCATCCCATCATAATTATAGTTGTCTGCGATATCAACATTATCTTTTGAATGCCCTTAATTTCCCCAGGCCTACTATTTCTTTTTAAAACAAGTTAGTAATATCCTTCAGATTACTGTGTAGACAAATACAATTCTATTTATTTCTGCTACTAAGAACACTAGTAACTGCAAGTTTGGCTATGACTCCAAATAGACAGATACTGAGCAATAAGCTGACAGACTTTGGTTATTCTCCCTGCTCCTCCAGCAAATATATAAAATGCAGCACAATCATTACTTCAGTAGGAATGCCAGCACAAGCAACCAGTTTCTGATAGGCCAAAATGTCCTCTCATACTACTTCATTTTGTGAGGCATTTTTCACTTATTAACAAGCACTAAATTCAGCATCAGAACTTACATCCCTAACAACTGATTCAAATAAAGCAGCTTAAACGTAAACAATTACAGAATAAAAGCAGCAGCTTGTTATTTTGAATAATTACCTCCAGGTAGAAACTCCATGATAAGGTAGAGGTTTAGCTTATCTTGAAAGCTATAAAACATTTTTACAACCCACAAACTATCTGCCTCCACTAGAATGTCACGTTCTGCTCGAATATGGCCAACCTGTAGATGGGTATACAAATGAATGCATCTAATTAACAATAAATTTTCACATATTTGTAAAACGCATTCAGGCATTCTACTACTGTCATAATGTTTAAAATGAACTACTTTATACGAATCCCCTGCTAATACAGTAGCATAAGTGCCATTTGGGACACATAAGCCATCATGAAAATAACAAACTGTGATCTAACAGATATACTTTTCTGTATACTCATTAAACCTTTAGTGACTAGATAGGTGACATGTGGTCCTTCAAATATTGCTGAGTTATAGCAATAACAAATATCCATCACTGATCATATTGACTGGGGTTATTGAGAGTTTATTGAAGTTCAGAAGTATATATAGGGCCACACTACCCTCCCTTGTTTTAGCATTAGTCTTTTTAGCTTCTGAACCATAATCCCTACAAATCATCTTTTAATTTTTTAATTCAGTTCTTATTTTGTTAATCACTTGCATTTCCATTGTAAAAAGGGTAGTAGTTTACAAATTGCGAAGTAAATATTAGTAACCTATGTGGCCAAAGAATAATTTAAATAATGTGCAGCTGGAGAATCTGCATTAGTAAGTCCTTTCTGGGGAAAAAAGTTTTCGAATTACGTTTTAAAAGTGATCAGAGTGGGTGAAGACCTGTATATAGGGGAGGGAACTCTACAGAATTAGGCAACACTGAAGAGAATATCCTGGCCCTAGTTGTTTCTAGCTAGGTCTCCTTCCTGGGCAGCACCCTCAGCAGATCCTTAGTAGGTAAACAGAGCTCCCAGTTAAAGAAATGATAAGGGAGTCATTACAGCTAGGGACCTGCCCACATAAAAGAAAGGCATTTATATGTTAAAGCAAACACTTCTGAATTTGGTTAGGAAGACAATGGGTAACCAGTGGAGCTGACCCAGGACTGATGTTATATGACTCCAGTGAGGGACACCCAACAGAAGCTGGGCCACTGCAATTGGGACCCACTATAGTTTCCAAGTTCCCATCAAAGGCATCTCTGTTAAGAGTCAAAAGCCGAGATGATTAGCTGGAGAAATATAAACGCATAGAAATATAAACTTAATTTGCTTTTAGTCAGTCAATTTGCCCTCTACAGTTACATACTTAAATCCTACCATCCATTCAACTCTGTTTACTGACATACCCTTCTTTCAGTATTCACAATTAAAATGCCACACAGAATAATCTCTTTAAGTTTACTACAAATGTTCAATTAAGTTCAATGAGATTTACTCCCATGTAAATAGTTTTTGTATAATGAATGTTAAAAATTCAACAATATTCAGATGAACATGGAAAGTTGGCCACAAATTCAAAAGGACCTCACCTACAAGCATACATTTTTGGCTGAGGTAAAGTCCAAAAAATATCAGCATTATTACCCAGTCAACTTAAGAATTAAAATGACTGTTTTTGTTTCCTCAGAAAAGTATCTCTTACCTTCCAAAAGTTCCAATTATTTTCAGAGTGGTAATTCAAGAAATCCAATTATCTGTCTAAAGACTTGATGTTTTTCAAACTTCAGTAATAAGAATTAGGTAGCATAACCATTTGGAAACTGCATTTACCTGCTCTTTTTCTAGCATGTCAGCTTTGCGTAGGATTTTCATTGCATACACATGCCCTGTGTCTTTCTTCTGAACAAGCCGCACCTAGAAGTTGGGGTACTGATTAATTCGTTTTGTGTTCATTAATGCATTTCAGGTATTTCAGTTTTTCCTGCTAAGGTTAACAGTCATAGAAAACAACCTCTCTCTTTATAACAGCACATCCCTCTATATCAGCAGGAAGCAATATTGTGCCCTCCATATGTTTTCAGCTGCTACTCCCAAAAGTCCCAATCAACACTTCCATGATTTACTAGACTTGAAGTCCAAAATATAATCTAGGACACTAGATTACCTACTCCTGGTCTTCCACAGTAAAGATGAATAATAACATTTTCTGTTCCTCATCAGTGTAACAGACAACCTCAACAGCTACAGAGAAAAATGCTTTCACAATGAACACTACCTAACATGGATGGTGATATTATTTTAAGGATTTGTATACCACTTCTCAATGTAAAAATACTGAAGCAGTTTATAACATTTATAACAATGATTACGACTTTAAAACAATCCCTTTTAAAAAAAAAACAGTTATGAGGAGTCAATGGCTGGGAAAGGCCAATATATGTTTTTAAAAGATACCTAAACATTGCCAGTATTGGGACTGTTGCATTGCAGGGATAAGTTTACTCTACAGGACAGATGCAATCACAGAGAAGGCTTCAAAATCTACTCCAGAAAGTAATATTGGGGATGTTATTACTAAGAGATGGCTGTATGGCTGTGAGAGCTGGACCATAAAAAAGGCCGAGCGCCGA